TTGACATGCCCAGGCTGTGTTCGGCGTGTTTTCTGCTTCGCTACCGTTCGCTTCTTCTGTCATTTTCAATAATGTTCTTCATTTAATTAAACTTCAACTTCTGTTAAATGCACGTGCAAGTCGCACGCTGCAGGGGTAATTTGCCCTTTAAGCCCCTGCACCGATGCACGTGCAAGTCACGCTGCAGGGGTAATTTGCCCTTTAAGCCTAGTTCTCATTCATCGCAAACCGTCGGCGATGGGAGCTTTGCGACGTCGGCGACCGCTTGCCATTTATGAGAACACATCAAAAATTATATCGCGGATTGTCCGTAATCGTCGCCGACCATCGGCGATGACATTGCAGGAAACAAAAAAGTTTGTTTCTTGCGACCATCGCCGACTGCCACCTGCTTGAAAAATCTATGAGAAATGAGTAAAAGTTGTTTTTCCTCAACAAGCAAGGAAATATATTATGAACTGAAGTTTGACAGAAATCATGAACTATGGGCAGCCGTTACCAACAAAAATAGTAAAGTCGCTAAATGGCATAGCAAAATGTGAAATATATCGACAAAATGTAATTGATTTAACCAAAATTAAAAGCGATTGATCTCTTACACTGAAATGACACATATAAAACATCAATGGTTCGACCTAATTTCGAATGGATTGATAACGCATAGCTAAATGGATCAACGTATTCCACATTGATTCAATAAAATGCGAAATGGCTCAACGAATTGTGTCGCAGTTCAATGAATTTTCAAATGGCTTACGTCCGCGTCGTCAAATGGAACAGCTAGAAATGCGAAACGGCTTGTTCGCATGAAATAGCTCGTTGCAAAATAGTCCCTGTCAGTGTTAAATAGCTTGTCTGTGTGAAATAGCTTTCTGTGTGTAATAGCTCGTTGTTAAATACCTTGCCAGTGTTAAATAGTTCGTTGTCAAATAGGTGGTTGTTAAATAGCTCGTTGTGAAATAGCTCGTTGTGAAATAGCTCGTTGTGAAATAGCTCGTTCTTAAATGGCTCGTTGTGGAATGGCTCGTTGTTAAATAGCTTGTTGTTAAATAGCTTGTTGTGAAATGGCTCGTTGTGAAATGGCTCGTTGTTAAATAGCTCGTTGTTAAATAGCTCGTTGTTAAATGGCTCGTTGTGGAATGGCTCGTTGTGAAATAGCTAGTCGTTGTTAAATAGCTCGTTGTGAAATAGCTCGTTGTGAAATAGCTCGTTATGAAATGGCCCGTTGTGAAATGGCTCGTTGTGAAATAGCTCGTTGTGAAATAGCTCGTTGTTAAATAGCTCGTTGTTAAATAGCCCGTTGTGAAATGGCTCGTTGTTAAATAGCTTGTTGTGAAATGGCTCGTTGTGAAATGGCTCGTTGTGAAATGGCTCGTTGTGAGCACGTCACGTGGTCAATGGTAATTTGATCCAACGTGTGAGTATTAATTAACGGCGTAAAAAGTGGCAAATCCGGCAATTGTGTATTGTTGATCGTCGAGGACAACGCTTGCGTCGGTAAGTTTTTTGTTAAATTTATTGCATATTTCACTGTGTAAAGATTAAGTTTAATGCGTTAGTTGAAAAAGTCTAACCCCAAATCTTGGTGGACAGAGGTTAAACGTATCTCCGGTATGAGACCTGTATCTGGCAGTTTGCTTAACCAACTTCATGTCGAAGATACAGAACATTTAACACACAAAGGTTTTGCAGATTTAATTAACAAAAGCCTAATAGAACCAATGAATACTTATGATCCCTTAAATGTTACAGATTTGAACACCTTGTTTGAGGAGATTCCTGATTATCCGTTAGATGTAAACATGAATTTGACAAATACTGCATCGGTCTTGAAAAAACTGAAAAGCTTGAACCCGCATAAAGCTCCGGGCCCTGATGATATCCCCAATTGGATTCTTTGTGATTATGCCGAAATCCTTGCTCCCTCTGTATCGGACTTATTGAATTCGTCCTACAAGCAAAAAAGACTGCCCTCATGCTGGAAACAAGCTAACATTACACCTATTCCGAAAGAGAAACCTGTTAAAGACATAAGCAAACAGCTCCGACCTATTTCGTTAACTCCGGTTCTGTCTAAACTTGCAGAAGAGTTTGTTGTTGAAAACTATATCGCTCCAGCAGTGTTGTCGTCAATTGATCCTTTTCAATTTGGTGGCATCCCTCGATCATCTGCTACAAAAGCCTTAATTTCTATGGTTCATGCGTGGACTCAAGCCACAGATGGAACTGGAAACGCTGTAAGAGTGGTTCTTTTTTATTATAAAAAGGCCTTCGACTTGATTGATCATAAGATCTTAGCCACGAAAATCATCCAATTGCCAATGCCAAATTTCATTAAGCGGTGGGTAATTGACTTTCTGATGAACAGGCAACAACGGGTGAAACTTGCAAGAGACTGTATGTCTGAATGGATTGACATTCCTTCCGGTGTCCCTCAAGGAACCAAATTGGAACCTTGGTTATTCATCCTAATGATAAATGACCTACGCCCCCACATCATGAGCGATGGAAATACATCGATGATGCTACGGTATCTGAAATCATTTACATCAACACACCCAGTAAAATTCAAGATACAGTCGATTGTGTTCAAAATTGGTCTGTAGAAAACAAGATGCAATTAAATGCCTCCAAGTGCAAGGAACTTGTTATCAGTTTTACAAAACCTGAGAAAGAATTTCCGCGCCTTAAGATCATCTCAGGCCAAATCGAGACAGTGAACCACGCAAGAATCCTAGGTTTGACAATTTCTAAAGATCTAAAATGGAACCAACACATAACCAACATAGTTAAGAAGGCGAACAAACGGATTTATTTTATTATTCAGTTGAAACGTGCTCATGTACCTGAAGCTGACATAATAAATTTTTCCACTACCTGCGTCAGACCAGTCATGGAATTCAGCTGTCAAGTTTTCCACTTCGCCCTTCCTTCCTACTTATCTAATGCCCTGGAACGGGTTCAAAAGCGTGTTTTATCAATCATCTATCTACTGACAGGTTATGCGGATTGTTTACAAAAATCGGGCATCAAACCATTAAGTGACAGGCGTGTGGATGCATGCGAGAAACTGTTTAATGAAATCACCACAACACCAGTAGCTAATATGCATAATCATGTACCATCTAGATACTTTCCAAATTACGACCTTAGACACTCAAGGTCTTTTGTTGTTCCTCAGACCAAAACGAACAGATTTAGAAACAGTTTTTTCCCTTCATCTGCAAGGCATATCAATAATATTAACTGACAATCGATTCTGATATTCAGTTTTAGACTGGCTAACATTTTTTTAGAAATTTACTAGTTTCATAGCTAATTTGTAATGTAACTTTAAACTTCTGTAATATAGAATTATAAATTGTAATGTAATTTTAAACTTCTGTAAATATAGAATAACTAATTTAATCATTTCTCTTGTAAAATTTAGCACGCAATTCAGCCTCTTGGCTGCTATGTGTTAATCTTATTAAACAAACAATCTATCTATCTATCTATCTATTTATCAATGTGCGTTGCCGTTGTTGTATAATGCTGAGAATATCTTTAAAACGCAGGCGCAATAAATATTAGTACTAATATTTACTAATATCACCGAATGCCGTCCATATATACCCCCAGAGGCCGCAAAATGGGGGGGGGGGGACTGGTGCTCTTTCAAACGAACGCGCCCTTTTTGGATTATAAAAATAATATTCTGGTCACTTTTAGATAAAAATGTTACATAAAATAAAGATTGCTAGTTATTAGGGAACGTCAGAGCGCTCGTTAGGGTTAAAAACTGTTATGCAAAGATGAACTGTAGCACTTGAGGTCTTTTCTTGCTATATATAAATAGGAGGGCAATTGCACCTAGCTCAGTAGGAATCAGATAGCCCCAGTTTCACTAGTTCTGCTCCCAGAAAACACTAATATCAGTCGATTTCACAATATTGAATATGGAAGGACTGTGCCAATATTGAAAAATAGGTACGCGACGCGTACATGTATCTGCGAAAAACTTGATTCACATTTTCATCACTTATTATAATTAATATAATAGGAAATAAGATTTTAAAGTCAAACATAGTACAAATCTAACAAGGCTGTAGACAGCACAGAGGGCAGCAGGGGCAACTCACCCCCCCCCCCGGCAAAAATGTAACTAATTTTATGTGATTATGATTGTAACTCAGATAATTATGCAGTCAAAAAATAAAAATTTCATGCAAACAATATTCGCAGTGTCTATTTAGTAAACTGTCACTTGTCAATCCATACCCATTTTGAAAACTTTATTGTAATCATATGAAGCAAAAGTTCTGTCACTTGTTGTTCACACTTGCCAACGTTAACTGTTGAGTAGCATACACAAACTATTCGAGGAACATGCAATTAATACTGTAGCAAAGAGTCCATCATATATCGAAGACCACTGAATAGTAGGGAATGTTTTAAAGGTCATGAATGAAGTATATAATTAAATTCCAATCCTTTGCACAGTTAATGATATACCACACTGTTCGGTTTAACACTGTTTATCCACACAAAAACAATTTGTGTTGTGGGAGAATATCGATTTGAGTAGAAGGTATCACAAGTTCAGTTTTGTACATATTGTGTATCTGACCATCCATATAATATATGATTATTGTAGCTGTTAAGTTATTACAGTATCCATACCATTGATACTTATGAATTTAGGTAAGATTGTCTTGCAAGTGGGTTGTTCTGACAAAATTATCTAGCCAATATCCAGTCAATTTATTCATCATTCTTGCATTAATCTCTAGACAAAAGCATTTATGTTAGAAAGCAAAATAACAATGTAATATTAAAGGAGGGATGGTGGGGATTCTTTTATTAGCATTTGAAAATGTTTGTAAAAATTTTGTTTAATTATAAACTCTATTAAATGTGTAAAACCAAAATATATATTAGTATTGTAAACTGATAACATCTTTAACCTCCAACACTACATTTGATGACAGCTTAGTTGGGCTGTTGTTTTGGCGGAACAGAGTTTGTACAGAAATACACGACCAGGATTTAATTCAATATCTCCCGAAACCATTTATAGTTTCCTTTGGTATTGTTCATTGGCAATATTGCCTGCTATGTTTTGACTGTTTAAAATATTAGAGAAGTCACAGAAGGATTGTTTTACTGTATAAATCTTTTTGTGAACTATGTTGACAAATGGCTTAAAATATCCTCGAAAATATCCAATATTTTATACAGTGTAATATATTAATAAAAAAATTCCAGACTGCATTTCATGTACACAGTCTCTACGCCGAAGATACGGCAATATAAAAATGCTCTTTCCAGAGGGGTTAAAAAGCAAAAAAGCACTTCCAGAGGGGGTTCAAGTCTTCCAGAGGGGTCAATTACACAGATTTTTTTGCATTCCAGAGGGGTAAAAATCCTCAAAAGCAGAGGTCCTCGACAGGGGGGGTTTGGTTTTTTAATGTAATAGGCTAATAGCCCAATTTACCGAACTCATGTATTAAATATGTGGGATATATATTTGCACAAATTTGGTATTTAAATCTATAGTATATGGTATTTGACTACTTACCAGATGAGGATAAGATTCCATGTTGATAAATAACTTCGGAAAAAAACTCTTCAGCCAATTCAAGATAAATTGATAAAAATATCAAGATACAGTATTTTTGAAAGAATAACACGATTTATACACGAGGCCTGACGAGGCTAAAGTATGCCCGTTCGCAGGTTAGATCAGCGGGCACGATGTAAACAATTGATGTAAACTGATCGCTGATTGGCTTAAATTGGCATAAATTGGCTGAATTATATAAGCCCGTCGCTGAATGGCTAGGGATACGGTACGGTACGTTTGCGATAGCAATATATCTGCTTCGCAGATACAAAAACTGAGTTGTGAAAGGTCAAGAATAATTTAACGATTTTAGAGGACCAACTGCTTCTTGAGTTTTTGTGGGTTTGTGTAAAAATCTGTATCCAAAAAGGTCTAAAATCAGGGACCTTGTCAACAGTGACGGGGGGAGGGGATATAAAATGGGCACATCATCACTGTGCATGCATGTTTGATCAATGCTTCAGAAACTGCTCTTTTGTTACAAGCCTACAATATTCAATGCTAGCAACAAACTTGCATACATTTTCAAAACAAAGCTTAGGCCAAGATATGAATGTTTGTAGTTTGTATCGACAGTTTTGTGACAGAGGTCGTGCTCTATAACCTCTATTGACATCTATATTTTATTGTATGACCACAGACATTTACATATAATGCGTTTTAAAGATTTTCTCAGCATTATACAACAACGGCAACGCACATTGATAAATAGAAGTTAAACTAAATTAGTACACATTAAACTTAATCTTTACACAGTGAAATATACAATAAATTTAACAAAAAACTTACCGACACAAGCGTTGTCCTCGACGATCAACAATACACAATTGCCGGATTTGCCACTTTTTACGCCGTTAATTAATACTCACATGTTGGATCAAATTACCATTGACCATGTGACGTGTTCACAACGAGCCGTTTCACAACGAGCCATTTCACAACGAGCCATTTCACAACGAGCCATTTCACAACGAGCCATTTCACAACGAGCCAATTCACAACGAGCTATTTCACAACGAGCTATTTAACAACGACTAGCTATTTCACAACGAGCCATTTAACAACGAGCTATTTAACAACGACTGGCTATTTCACAACGAGCCATTAACAACGAGTCATTTAACAACGAGCTATTTAACAACGAGCAATTTCACAACGAGCCATTTCACAACAAGCTATTTAACAACAAGCTATTTAACAACGAGCCATTCCACAACGAGCCATTTAAGAACGAGCTATTTCACAACGAGCTATTTCACAACGAGCTATTTAACAACGACCTATTTGACAACGAACTATTTAACACTGACAAGGTATTTAACAACGAGCTATTACACACAGCAAGCTATTTCACACAGCAAGCTATTTCACACAGACAAGCTATTTAACACTGACAGGGACTATTTTGCAACGAGCTATTTCACAACGAGCTATTTAACAACGACCTATTTGACAACGAACTATTTAACACTGACAAGGTATTTAACAACGAGCTATTACACACAGCAAGCTATTTCACACAGCAAGCTATTTCACACAGACAAGCTATTTAACACTGACAGGGACTATTTTGCAACGAGCTATTTCACAACGAGCTATTTAACACCGACCTATTTGACAACGAACTATTTAACACTGACAAGGTATTTAACAACGAGCTATTAAACACAGCAAGTTATTTCACACAGCAAGCTATTTCACACAGACAAGCTATTTAACACTGACAGGGACTATTTTGCAACGAGCTATTTCATGCGAACAAGCCGTTTCGCATTTCTAGCTGTTCCATTTGACGACGCGGACGTAAGCCATTTGAAAATTCATTGAACTGCGACACAATTCGTTGAGCCATTTCGCATTTTATTGAATCAATGTGGAATACGTTGATACATTTAGCTATGCGTTATCAATCCATTCGAAATTAGGTCGGACCATTGATGTTTTATATATGTCATTTCAGTGTAAGAGATCAATCGCTTTTAATTTTGGTTAAATCAATTACATTTTGTTGATATATTTCACATTTTGCTATGCCATTTAGCGACTTTACTATATTTGGTGGTAACGGCCGCCCATAATGAACTTTACGTTGAATGGGGCCATTTTGTGCCTTGGTGGGAAATTTCGAAACACATCGGCTGTCATCTGCGACGATCACCGATGTATGAGAACTTTCGTGCATTCGCGCTCGGCGAGTATCGGCGATAAGCGTCGCCGATCGTCGGTGACAGTTTGCGATGAATGAGAACTAGGCTTTAGAAACGATTTCCGACGTTTCCCGAGTACGAGGATGTAAACATCGCATTGTTTCGACATTTCACTTTGTATTTCCGGTTGAAGCTCTCACTAAAAATTTAGATATTTTGAAATACCGAAATAAAAGATGCAAATCTGTAGATACAAGCTTGAAAATAACACTCTAAATAGTGTTTTGGATTTTGATTCGAACAAAACTATTACGAAAAAGATATGTTGAAAGCGGCCGAAGTTATGTTCAGCGAAAGGTATGCCTACTTTGTATTTACAATTTTAATATCAAGTAATATCTCGTAATTTGATAATATACAATCCCGCTATGTTGATTTTCATCTACAAAAATTCTACATATACTAATAGCATGTACTGAACCTCTAAAGAACCTTGCATCGTCCATGAAAACTACATGATATACAAAGTAACATATTCTTAATACAATTTCATCTTTAATTATTCGGTTTATTCCCGTGTTTCTGATTGTTTTAATCGATATTCTATAAATATTGCTCTATTAAAGTCCGTATTCCCTGGACCCTGGTCGATTATCGTTCAAGCAATTGAATTCACCAAACGCAACTACTTTTCAATATAAAAAATATGTAGATTTTTACTCACCAAGAACGTTTCTGCTTGTAACATTTGTTAAATTCGAGGTTAAATTTCACATGCGGCTAAATCGAGGAATGCACATTCGCCCGACGCCATCTTGAATTCCGCGCAATGACCTGGGTCTCAGTTATGATGTCATAGTATCAACCATGAATGATGTAATCACAGGCGGCCCAGTCTCGCAAGGGTCAGTATAGACTTACAGTATAAATTTATATTATATTATATTAATTGTATATTATAATAAAAATATGTCGTAAAATATAAATTTTAAAATGAAATTTACTTGCCTATTTGATAGTGTGTGTTCTCCTTTTATTCCTCCCTTGTTGGACTAATATTTTCCGAGACTTTGTACTCCGTGTTACTAGTATACATGAAACATGATAAAGGCTAACTATTCCCGATCGTCGATACGACGGCACGGCATTTCGAATCGAAAATTCTCACACTCAAATCGCTTTATTCTCCAAAATAATTCGCCAGCATGTACAACAAATGCCGTTCTTCGAAAACACGGATGTACTTCGGCGAGATGTACAAGTTTTGGACCATATTTTAACAATGGAAATCAAAACCCATTTTATATTGAACTTGCCCAGGCCGAAAATTACAACGGCGAACGTCTGCGCAACCAGGCCTCCTTTACCGTTGGATTTACAGGGGGGGGGGCAAATATTTCCGGTAACAGCCAGCCAATCGCAACCATGATAGCGACTGCTTACATTATTTGAAATTTGATATTCAAAATAAAAACTCCTTCGATCGGATACTGTATAAAACTTGAGATGTTGTCGAAGAAAAGAAAACAAAACGATGGAGATTGTAGGAATTTAAGGAAGAAGAAATATACAGCGGATCTTTTTTGGAAAGCATGGTAGAATATGATACTTTAATTCGAAATATGATCGTTAATATATTAGTGGCATCCTTCCCCCCTGTAAATCTCAACGGTAAGGAGGCCTGGTTGCGCAGACGTTCGCCGTAGTAATTTTCGGCCTGGGCAAGTTCAATATAAAATGGGTTTTGATTTCCATTGTTAAAATATGGTCCAAAACTTGTACATCTCGCCGAAGTACCTCCGTATTTTCGAAGAACGGCATCTGTTGTGCATGCTGGCGAATTATTTTGGAGAATAAAGCAATTTGAATGTGAGAATTTTCGATTCGAAGTGCCGTGCCGTCGTATCGACGATCGGGAATAGTTAGCCTTTATCATGTTTCATGTATACTAGTAACATGGAGTACAAAGTCTCGGAAAATATTAGTCCAACAAAGGAGGAATAAAAGGAGAACACGCACTATCAAATAGGCAAGTAAATTTCATTTTAAAATTTAGATTTTACGACATATTTTTACTATAATATACAATTAATATAATATAATATAAATTTATACTGCAAGTCTATACTTAGACTTGGATCAAGTCCGTCTCTCTAGAGTTGCGCGCTCTCCTTCGGACTCTAGAGAGACGGACTTGATCCAAGTCTAGTCTATACTATGACTGATTATTACTGACCCTTGCGAGATTGGGCCGCCTGTGATGTAATCAAAACAAACGTATTCGCGGGAAAATTAAAATAGTGGATTTTGATTGGATAATTGTCGCTCGCTCATTGCCACTTTATAAATAGTCTATTAA